TCCCCAGGCCAGGTCCCATGACTGGGGCTGAGATACTGGAAAAGTACCTGTGATTCCATCTGCCACCTACATTCTATATTCATATTTAACCACTTGGAATCCACACCTCAATATCTGTTTACTGAGAAATTTAGGTTTTGTCCCTGTACAGTGTCTTTCCTCATCACTTCCAGCTCCACAAGGGTCCTTCCCTCCCTCTCCTGTTCTTATATCCAAGATCTTAAGTTAGGTTGAAGGAAGTGGGGGTTCAAATATAGCTGTTTACAAACTCAAAGAGAAGTGCCAGGAAGGCATCATTTGTCCCTGTATCCCAAGGCTAGGTAGAACCCAGTGGCCTGAGTTGTCACCTCAGCAACCTCACCTAATTTCATAAACTTTCAGTATGCTAAAATAGAGGGTTTGTTCCCCCAAAAGAGGTGTGTGTTTCTTTTCATTTGGGTAAAAATAGGAATGTTATACTTAGATGGTAATGCATATGAAGTGGAGCACTTAACTTCTCACATGGCACAAATGACTAAACGGAAGCCTTGAGCTCACTTTATAGAACACAGGTTCTGCAAGAGCTATGATAATAGTGTTTGGTTAATGTCAGCTCAGCATTAAATTTACATTATAGTCTTGTGCAGAAGCTCCAGCATTATCTGTTAATAACCAAGGCGGTACCTGGGCTTATAGAGACTTCTTGATGTTGCACATGAGCTAACACTGCAGCTTGCTGATGAATGATCATGTGAGCTTAGAGCTTTGGACTCTTTGAATGAATAAAATTCTGGTCAGTGAAGGTCAGTTTCTCTACTCAAGTGAGAACAATGTTGTTTCCCTCCTAATCAGAAGCACACAGTGTTTGAAAAATCCAGGAGCCCCACATAAGTGATGTGCAGCCTAGGCCTGGGCAGCTTGTCATGCTGAAATGAGTAATCCTTAATAAAGGCTCAAACAACCGTAGCATCTTCCTGTACTATAATCAGTTGCTTTCATGGTGTGCCCTTCAGTGCTTCACAGGGAAATGCTGTAAAGGTAAGTTATCTGCTCTATCTTGCTTCAAGGAAGGCTGAATTGGTCCAATCAGTCCTCCCCCCATGTTGTATTTGATTCTGCCATAAAGACCAATGAGTCTGCCTCAGTTGTGTTGGCCGGCCAGTTTCCCTTTCTCTTTCAGAGCCTCTGAGTAGGACTAGACTTGAAACAGCAGGAGTCACTGTCTGTATTGTTAGGCTTCAGAATTTTCTTTAAGCACATTCTAAATCCAGTTTTATGCTTTTTCTGCTTTCTCCAGTCTGTGACAAAGGTGACCCAATTGTGCTTCTTTGATATTATGAGCACAGTTCTTTGTGTTCCTGTCACAGAGACATATAACAAAGGATAAAATTGTGTCTGTCTACATAATAGGAATACTTATTTCATGACTAAAGTAACATAATTTTAAAACAATGTTTTCAGTAAGGCCTAGTGTTACAGGTTTCTAATTTCAGCTGCTTAGAAGGCTAAGGCAGGAGGAGTGCAGGTTCAAGGCCAACCTTGACTACAGAGTGAATTCAAGGACATCCTGAGCTATTTAGTGAGACTCTTAGAGCTTTGTGTTGTATGAAATGGTTTTTACTCTTGGCTTTTTGAGGGGACCACCACCCAGCTCCCAACTACATCACACGCACAGTCTTGCTATTACTTATGAATGCCTGGCCTTAGCTTGGCTTGTTGCTAGCCAGCTTTTCTTAACTGGTCTACCTTTTCCCTCTGGGCTTTTATCTTTCTTACTTCTTCATACCTTACTTTTCTTTTTACTCCATGGCTGTCTGGGTGGCTGGCCCCTGACATCCTTCTCTTGTTGCTCCTCTTCTTCCTAATTTCTCCTTCTATTTATACTGTCTGCCTGCTAGCCCCTCCCATCCTTTCTGTTGCCTAGCTATTGGCTATTCAGCTCTTTATTAGGGCCACCAAGTTTTTAGACAGTCACCTTCACAGAGTTAAACAAATGCAGTATAAACAAAAGTCACATACCTTAAAATAATATTCTACCACACCTTTGCCCAGAATTTGTGAGTCCCTAGGTTCAGTTCCCAGTACAGGGAATTGAGGTGGAACTTTGGCAGCTCATGATAGGAACTAATAGGCAGAGAGCACTTTTCAGTATGTTTTTTAATAGTACTAAGATATAGTTCAAAAATAATCAAACTAATGAAAATGTCACTTTGATAGAGTAGCCCACATAAAGATTTTACTTCAGAAAGACATAATTTGGTGAATGTGACTTTGATAGCCATGATGTTAGGGTTTACAGAATTAGTAAAATGAGCTCAGAAGAGTGTTCAAGTATTCCCACTGGAGCATATCATTTTACATTTAATTTTTTACAACTATAAGTGAACTTCAAGAATTAAGGAGTTTTAGCTTTAATGCCTGTCTAGGCAAAGAATATGGAGCTTTTTCTTTATATCGGTCTCTAATATAAATTTATAATACACTACTGTGAAAGAAATAAATTAATCAAACAATATAGTAAAATTGCACGTACCTTAGACCATTAAAAATACACAAGTTGTAAAACTGCGTAGCATTGATGCCTTTCTCAGTAAATAAATGTGCCTGGTTTAAGTAATTAAAAATGTGTGAGAAAGTAGAAACAGAGAGTAGAAAATAGCAGTAGTTGTAAGCAGAGTGGCCTTAGCATCACTGAAGACTACTTAGTTCTCTGGTTGGTTGAACAAATATTCCAGCAAATCTGAAATGAATGGCAGCTCTGTTTACTATGGCAGCCTTTATTTGTCTTGGGTGCAGCCAAGACCACATGCTGTGTTTTATCATGTTGGAAATACTGAAGCTGATTTCCGTTGTAGATGTGAATTTTTTTTAAAGCCTTAACACCTCAGTCTCAAGTTAGCTAGGTAGAAGAAATAAGTTTTCCTTTCCCTTCCATTCCAGCCAAACATCAATAAATCTTCTGTGCCTCCCCCAAACACATGTAGCTATAGTTCACCATCCTGGTCACAGTCTTGGTACACTGCTATAACAGGTCCCATACTTCTCATTTCCAAGGCCTATCTCTCCAATGTTTATAAAGCTAATTTTAAAATTTATGTGGATATCAAGGCTTAACACTTAGTTGAGAGTTTCACAGACTGCTGTAGCATTCTTTACATTCACTTTCTAAAGTAATTCTAAATAGCAGATTTGTGCAGAATTCATATTCCATTCCTTTTTCTTGGATTGCCAGGTCATTTAGTTAGCAGGGAAACCTGGGTAGAAGTAGAAAGGTAGAGGCTTATGAACGAGGTAGAGGAAGGATCCTTGCTTTTATGGATCAGTATCTGCACTTTTTGTCCTGTGGCCTTTATTGTAGTTTGATATAAGTTGGTAGTTTTTCTAAAGTCATATGTATCATTCTGTCTGAAGTAAATTTAAGACTAATTTACACTGAGAAGCCTAGTTGCCAGAGAAGTGTAGCACTTAAAAAAATCATGCTCTGTGAAGTCTCGCACAGGAGATTTGAAGTGGTGGCAATACCAACTGAACTGCCTCAGTCCAAAATCAGTAGACACCCTGAAAGGCAGTAACTTTTACTTTAGAGACAGGCCTAAAGAATGACTGCTGTCCACACTGAGTGATGGAGCAGAGGTGAGATTGTAGAAGGAGGACAATCTGAGCAACTATTTAAGTACTATAATGTATTCATTGATTGTGTATGCTGAGAAGTACTGATATGAACAATAGCTGTTCTTATAGAGCTGCACTATAGTAGAAGACACATAAATAACGGTAAATAGTCAGGGGCATCCTGAAATGGAAACACGTATAATAAGGTTATGTATTAGGTTGATTCACAAAAATACTGTGACTATGAGGATACAGAGTTACAGCTTACATTGGTAAGGTGGTTAGGAGACCCTTCAAGGCGTAGTTTGAGTCCTAGGGCAAAGTGAGGAGAAGCTATGTGTCCTCATGGAGCGAAAGAGAGGCAGTGCAGTGCTACTGGTGAAGAAATGGTCTCTGGATGTTCAAAGACTAGAAGGAAAATTGTCATAGGTGCCACTTGCCAACGTAAAGGAGGAGAAAGTAGTAGAGTTAGAGAGGTAAAGAAGCTAAGAAATTATAATCATCCCAGGAATGAGTTCATCTAGGGGATAGTGGAAAATGGTAAAGGTAACCATACATGTGTGTTTTAGAAGTTAAATTGTAGCATTTAGAGATTTAAAGAAAAGGCTGGAGGCTCAGTGAAACAAGTAGGAATAATAGGGTGTCTTAGTCAAGCAGAGAAGCAGAATGGGGGGAGCTTCAAAGCCCAATGTTTGACATGCTGCTATTAAACTGTTCCTTCTGGAATCTCTCCAATAAAAACACTGGTGCACTGATGTATGAAGCTTTTGAAAATCATGGCACTCTCCTTTTAAAACACTTCTTAGGTGTTGAGCAGGCTTCTTTCCTGACAAGTTAACTCAGACTACGCCTCTCTTACGATTTCTCTACCTGCAACTTCCAGTGTAGAAGCAGAGATCTCAGAGATGGCTCACACTGTCAGCTGGGAACTGTATGCCATTTACTTACTATTTCTTTTACCATGGAAGGACTGGGTGGTGTTGGATGCTTGCCAATAAGATTAAACTGTCCTTGTGACTAAAAACCATCTCAGGACACCTCCACTTTTAGGGAGTCATCAGGACGCTGGCAACATCTGCAGTTGAAATTTAATTTCATATGCAAATTAACAAACTCATGCAGTTTGCTTACAGAAACCAAGTGATTAGGCTCAAAACTAATCCATAAATAGGGTTTGGTTTTTTTCTTTTTCTTTTTTTTTTTTTTTTAATTCTAAGTTCTGTTTTGCCTAGAGTACAGCGGATTTATTGTGGACATTTGCCAAACATCTGGACCTCTCTGGCACTCTTAGACTCAAAGATACAATTCTGAAACTTTCAGATCCAATCATAAGCTTGCAAGTTACCACTTGTATTCTAAGAGCAGAGTTGATGGTGCATAAGTTTACTGGCTTATTTTTCTTTTGGCAGGATTAAAAATGCTCTGGTTTCAAGGAAATAGCCTGCAGATTGCCAAATCCTCCTTTGGACTCTTGCGAAATCTCACTGCCTCTAACACCCCTCTGCCTGTGCTGACCTTATTCACAAAGGTACTGATTGAAAAACTAAAATTCCACTTAAAAAATAAAGTATTATCATTGTTGGGTGAAAAAAAGTTATATAGCCATGAAAAAGGGTCAAATCTGTAAAGAAAAGCAATGGGAAATTGTTTCTTCAGACTTGTTCTTCAGTTTTTCCTGCCAAGACATTTCATTCTTTCTGTTATTGAGGGTACACTAATATATACAATGGTCATTTTACCCCAAAGTTAAAAAAGAACTTTAGACTATAATTATGATGTTTAAAGCTGTGCTATTTAGAAATAAGTCAGTTCTTGTTATTTGTGGTAGTTATGTCCTAAAAACACTATAAACATTGAAATAGCTAATACTAAACCTAAGAAAAGCACTGAATTGCATTCCAATAAGCCCCTGGCCACAGTATTTTTTTGTGATTAACTATATATAACCTTAGTGTATAAGAGTTTCTGTTTAAAGATGTCTTATTCAGTACGTATTATTTAGTCATTAGCGTTTTGCTCATGGCCAACAATACTACAACTCATGCCTAAATGAAGCTTGTCTGACATTTGTATTTTCTCCATGAGGCACACCACAGCTTTCTTTTAAAAAACAAAGCCCCCACACACACACACACAATTGGTATTACCCATACAATCACACCTGTAAGGGACTACCTGTAAGGATACTAACTGATATGTACAGTATGGAAGCTAAAACAAGAAGGTAAAGCATTAGCTTATTAGACCTTACTTTAGAACTGAACACTTCTGGCAACTCAGACTTGTTCTAGCTTTGTGCATTAGCATGTTGGTGACTGACTATAAAAGTGCTTCCAGTATCGTTTGGGGAGTTACAAATTTTATCACTTAGGTAAATTCACAAATAACCTATGAATAATGAAGACTGGTTGTACTTGCTTTTTTTAACCCTAGCATTACTGTTAAACCACAGGGGTGTGTGTGTGTGTGTGTGTGTGTGTGTGTGTGTGTGTGTGTGTGTGTGGTTGTGTGTGTGTGTGTGTGTGTGTGTGTGTGTGTGTGTGTGTGTTGTGTGTGTGTGTGTTGTGTGTGTGTGTGTGTGTGTGTGTGTTACATAAGAGATGTGTGGGTATATGTCTTCTTCTGTCTATGTGAGCACACATGTGTGTGCAGATGCAATGGAGGCCTAAGGTTGATATCAATAGTCTTCCCTCAGTCACTCTCCACCTTAGTCTTTGAGGCAGGATCTCTCAGACTTGAGATAGCCAGTCTAGCTAACTCACCTGCCCTGGGGATCTCCTATCTCTGCCTTACAAGCACTGGACTTCCAGGCAAGTCATCATGCCCACCCAGCATTTCCATGGGTTCTAGGGATCTGAACTCTAGTTCTCAAGCTTGTACTGCAAGTGATTTAACCACTGAGCCATCTCTTCCCTGCCTTAGTTTAAAATTTTTAGTTTTCACCCTGTAATCTTCAGTAATGTCTTCTTCCTAGTTAACATCACTTTGTGGAATTTATAATAAAAAAGAAACATGAAGACAACAGAAGTTACTTTTTTAAACACAGCAATTCAAATAAAAAATCAGATTTTCAAATTTTAGCCATTTGACAATTTAAAACAAGTTCTGACAGTTGTCTAATAACAAGGTCTGCTAGTTATGATGGTCCACACCTGTGTCTCCCAGCACTTGGGAGTCAGAGAGAGGCAGGAGCAGGTTCAATACCAGCCTAGCCTACATAGCAGATACCAAATCAGCCAGGGCTTACATAATAAGGCCTTATCTGAACCTCAACCCACCCCCAAAATATAAAATTAAGCTTCTAATTAAGAATATTTCATCTAAATTTTGTATCATCAATATATATTGTACTGTTGGAAATTATAAAGCCAAAAATATTCCATTATCTGAGACAATAGCTCCAGAAAACTAGTTGTACTCACTTGGCCTATGATTGCCATGCACTCTTTTTTGGTTCCATCAGCAGTTGAGATAGCCAAGAACATTTGCAGAAAATAATCAAACAAACAAAAACCCAATCTTCCATTCATCTTAATATGTATACTGAACCTTGTGAAGTACATAATAAGATATAAGTAACGCACAGTCCAGTAAAAGAAGTATGAAAGTCAAGAATTTGTCCTTTGTCTAAGGCAAGTAGTAGAGAGCACTTTTCAGATTGAGTTTAAAACACAGGGTTTGGTGGTTGTTTTGGTTTCTGGTTCCAGAGAGTGCTTGATTCAGAAAACAAGGTTACCAGTCTCTTCAGTTTTGTAATCTTCTGGATTAAATTCATCTTCGTTTTGGCTCTTCTTCTTTATGACTGCAACAACCCTAAGCCCAGATCTCACATTTCAGGTATCTATGGAAATAGCAACAGAAGGCCCATGGCTATTCATGGCTCTGATTGGCCCATCTCTGAACCAAGCATCAGCAAAAGAGATAGGATGCCCTGAATGTTTGCACCTCTGTCAAACGTTTCCCCCTTTCTTGCTTAGAGACAGAATTAGCCACATGCTAAGAGAAGTTCCTGTGGAACAAAACTGTAACCTTCTTGCTACAAGAAAGGATGAGTGGGTGTTAGATGGCTATCCAGTAGTTCAAGAACAACAAAGTAACAAGTGCCAGGGAGAATCTTCAGAAAGGCCATTCTGACCGTGGGCCTTTTCTTGTCTGGGTTGCTTATCCTTTCCAAAGGGTGATGAGCCTTTGGAAAGATATACACTCACATATTTGCATTAGCAATTTATAGAAACCTCCACAAGCCTGCCTTTAAAAGCAAAACACCTTTATGAGGTTCATCTCAAGCTTTTACTATAAAAGCAAAATATAAAGAGGTGCATTTGGTATATCTGCAACTTAGCATATTCATTTTGCTTTTACTTTCAGGCTCTTATATTGATCTTGACACTTTCTCAGGAAATTTTAGCATGAGTGTCTTACAGCAACAAACTGTCCACAATCTGTTTTTTGTTAACACTAATAACAATTTGATGAGGTGAATCCAGCCAAAAGGCCTAGAAATTTCTAAGTTCTTTTTTTCAAAACATGCCCTGAGTTTAGCTGAAATAAAGGCATGTCTTGTACATAATAACTTATCTCTTCCTAATGTATTAAAAAGCAGCTTTTACACAAGCAGAACTAATACTGAATCTATGTTGAGCAGCTTTTACACAAGTAACAGTAATGCTGGGTATTTTGACTTCACATAAACGAACCTATAGCTGGACTCTTTTCTTACGCACAGTGGCTAAGAAACCATTAATATCTGCCAGTCTGTGTTCTCCCCCATCTTCCCCATAAGGGAGTTGAAGAATACAAACCACAGCAGGTCCTTGAACTTCCTATGCTTCATGTAGAACATTAGTTCATTGTGGATACCTCTAATACTAAAACTGAAAACACACTGTGAAGTTCTGTAGTCATTCATCTGAATTGAAGAGACTTTTTTTCTCCTTTTAAGGGTAGAACAGTCACTATTTCTCTCCTCCCTGATACAATTATTCCTCTGGACTAATTTGGAAAAACAGGCTGATGAAGTTCAGTACTTCCCAGTCATAAAAGACTTAAACCATTCAGGTCAATTGTATGAAGCCACCAAGTTTCTCCTTACTTAGGAACAACAGAGCCCTTTGCTAGGTAGATAGGTCAGTGATAAATAGGGAGTATGTAATGTACAACACACACACACAGGTATATATACACATATAAGGAAAATAAAAACAACAAACAAAAAGTACAGAAAGCATCTATCATGAAATAGTGGCTGTTTATGAGAGTCTGTGGTAATGTTTTGCTTTGGAAATAAAGTCATGTGATCTAACTATCCTTTGGAGAAAATGCAACATGCCTATGGTGTGTGTTTGGAGTTTTTCGTTGTTGTTTTGTTTTGTTTTTTTCTTGGGTGGGGGTGTTATACCAAATACCTGCCTTTGGGTTTAACAGCTTTTGTTTTTCCTCTAGGATCCATGCCCACTCTGTGATGAAGCCAAAGAAGTCCTCAAGCCTTATAAAGACAGGGTAACTTTCATGTATTTGGGGTGGACAGAGTTTACTGTATAAAGTATATGCTTAGAACTTTTCTTTAGGAAAAGAGATTAAATGGTTTTCATTTAGAGTTCCTTTTTATTCCTTAGAGAGTTTAGTACTGACTGATTTCCATGAAACTCATTACCCCTAAGTGGTTTTCTCTGAATATTACTGGACTTTTTTTTCCTCTCTGATGCTTACTGTGAATCAGAGTTAACTATCAGAGTGTTCATGCTTACTTTAAACTTCAGCCCCATTCCTTTTATCTTACCTTGTAACTTCCATGGACGTGTTTTCCTTTAGCAAACCATTGTAGCTGGGCCATCTTTACACCAAGACACTTACATCTTTATTTCTAGGCAGCTTCCCAGCTGGTACCTTATTTCATTGGAAACAGAGTAGAGCCCTGCTGCTGGATGGAGCAGGTGCAACAGAAAAGTAGGGAAATCGGGAGGTAGAGTAAAGGTAATGAAACTAGTCAGGCTTTGGAAATGTAGGCCATTGGATTACTGTAGGCCTGCAACAAACAGGAGAAAAGCTATGTGTTTTCTCCTTTACAAAGTCTGGGATTGGCACATCATTATGGTTGCTGCATGGCTCTATGGCCTATAAAACATAGTGCTTTAACCTATCCGTGCTTTAGTTTATTTTACAGGAGGTGGACATCACACTTCCAGAAAATTCTACTTGGTATGAAAGGTATAAATTTGACATCCCTGTATTCCATTTGAATGGCCAGTTTCTGATGATGCATCGAGTAAATATCTCAAAGCTTGAAAAACAGCTTCTGAAACTTGAGCAGCAGGTGCTGAAGACAAACTGATGCCTCGTGATTTCCACCTTCTCTGTCAGAAGGCATCTGCCTGAGGGTATGGGTAGTGTCTTGAATTTCCTCATCACTGTCACAGTACCCTTATAAATACGTTGCCATTACTCTTCTGATTGATTAAGTACCCATATGAGAACAGTTTACTTATGGGCATTTTGTAAACTAGGAGCACATTGTGTGGAGGGGGAAGCTGTAGAGTGAGAGAGGTCTATTTGCTGACTTTATTTTTCCCTCGCCCATGAGTGTAAAGCCCTTGTCATGCACTGAACAGTGTCCTGATGGGAAGAAGGCACTGCAGTCTGCCACTGAGCAGTCCTGGAGCCTAACTTGTAGTGGAGTAAATGCTCTCCCTCTTAGTAAAGTGAAATGTGAATTGTTAATATCTGTGCACAGTCAATAAAGGGCTTTTTTAGCGAATACATCTGCATGCAGCCTATTTCAGTGGAATTTAATAATACCTGTTTAAAATTAATGTTCACTTTTGTGGAGTAGAAGAGAATAATTATTCTAGCCAAAGAAGCTTCACTTCAGAAAGACAAAGGAGCCTTAATCCTCCACAATGTATATAATAGACTCAGCTGTACATATCATCGTGGAACTGATTTGTAATGTTGAAGACTTAAGTTATCATCAATTAAGTTAATTCAACTAATTGTAAGATAGTAACTTTGTCTAATTTTAGTCTCTTGAGAAAATCCTTTTTTTTTGGGGGGGGGGGTTTCGAGACAGGGTTTCTCTGTGCAGCTTTGGAGAAAATCCATTTTTAATCATAACTGCACATATGTACCATCTAAACATGAAGTACTATTTTATATAAAATACTAAAGATGTAGTTTTGTACCCTTTATTTGTATTTTGTCAGATTTGTTAAACATGGATTCACTTAAAAACAAAACTGTATTTTCTCTTAAATCACATGGCTATGAGGTTCTTCTGTGAACTGAACTGTTTGTATATCATGAGCCACTAGATCTGTAAATGATCAGTGTGATTTGGTCTCAGAATATTATAGCCCACTAACCTTAGACATTGTCCTTATATTATACATGAGGAAGAATCTAAAGTTTAGGGAATTTGTGTGACTTAATTCATAGTAGCCCAGCTACTCAGCCACTTGGCCAGTTCTTGCCAGAACCATGGCATTTCTAATGTTCTCTGGACTTACTGTAGTTGTTCCGTTGTATTATTTCAAATACAGCATCTCCAGCCATTGTGGGTTCAACACAAAATAAGCCATCTAAAAATCACAATGTCACAATTTAAAAAAAAAAAAAAAAAACAGCCTTACATTGGCTGGAGAGATGACTCAGTGGTTAAGAGCACTTGCTGCTCTTCCAGGACTTAGGTTCATTTCCCATCACCCATATGTTGGCATACAACCATCCATAACCACAGTTCCAGGGGATCCAACAGGCACACATGTGGTCAGTACATGTATGCAGGCAAAAAACTCATACACATAGAGTAAAATACGTAAATCTAAAAAATTAAAATCAAAAAAGCCTTATAACTGAAGAGCAGTGTTCATACTTTACATAAGCCCTTTAGTAGACAGACTTCTAGAATGACACCAGTGTCTTCACCTTGTATAATTCCCTCCCCCGTGAGTGAATAGAAATATAGCTGTGTGATGCTACATGGCAAAGGAGAGATTATCCTGGGTGTTCCTGCTTTAATTAGATAAGCCATTGAAAAGCTTCAGAGAAGTCAAAGAGGTCATTTCTAGCTATCCTGGAAGTAAGAAAATATCTGTCTTGTGAACTGCCTGTTTGAGGCCACATAGAAAAAAGCTGGGGGAAGTCTCTAGGAAGTAAATAGTTCCTGGTACAAAACAACAGGAAAATAAAGACATCAGTCTCATAACTTCAAGGAAGTAAGTTCTGCCAGTAATCAATGAGCTCAAAGAGGACCTAGCCCCGAGAGAGAACTGCTTCCCTAGATAGCACCTCAACTTCAGTTCAGTGAGTCTCTGCTCAGAGAACCTAAATACTGCACAGCAGACCCTCCAACAATAAGGATGATAATAAAGCATTATCCTGCTGAGTATTACCAAGTGGTTATGGTATATAGGAAGTGCAGAGGCTAAAGGTAAAATAGAACTTCATCAAAATAGTTTCAACAGTAGGGTCTTCTTCAAGCAATGATTCTACAATGTGGCTGTGTGTGATAGTGTACTCCTTTACTTCCATCACTCAGGAGGCAGAGGCAGGCAAATCTCTGTGAGTTCGAGGCAAGACAGCCAGAGTTACATAGCAATACCCTTTGTTTAAAAAAAAAAATCTATATTGTACTTACTTTCAAGATATTCAAACTAAGGTATTGGCTAAGGCATTAAAAAATAATAATGCCAATTCCAGAAACTATTAGGTCACATCCAGGATTACATAAGATTAAGGAGAGGATATTGAGAGGGATTGAAAAAAAAGTTAAGAAAGGCTCTCACTTAGTTTCCACCAAAAGCAAAGGTACGGAGTTACCTGCTATCAAGAGAGGTCTGTGAGAATAGTCAGAACACAGTGGTCTAACTATGTCTTTGGCAGTCATTTGAGAGCTGGTTTGGAAAACATGTTTGGTTTGCTGTTATGAAGGAAGCTACAATTTTGTTTGTCTAGAGAAGGTGTGTGTGTGTGTGTGTGTGTGTGTGTGTGTGTGTGTGTTCAAATACACACATGCATATGTGTGTATATTTGTGTGCCTGTGTTTGTATCTGCCTGTCTGTCTTCCCTGACCAAATGTGGTCCAAGCATAGGTTTGTATAAAGTACCTTCAGTATAAAATTAATATATATGTAATATATATACATATATTATATATATATGTATATCTTTACTACATATGTTGTTTATATACTATAGCATATATAAGCTCACTATAGCTATCCCATAATATGAGCATTGATTACCTGAGGGGCAGTGGTGGCGCACACCTTCAATCCCAGCACTCGGGAGGAAGAGGCAGGCAGATCTCTGTGAGTTCAAGGCTGGCTAGCCTGGTCCACAGAGTTCCAGGACAGGCTCCAAAGCAATACAGAGAAACCCTGTCTCGGAGGAAGAAAAAAAAAAGGAAAAAAGACCTAATGTTTTTTACTTACAAATGTCAACAAATTTACTTCTCATTTGAGAGAGCAGTGATTATGTGATGAAGATTCATGGAACTCTTCAGGAATCACTCTGATCCCTGTAGCTGGCAAAGAGAAAGGCAGATACCTAGAAATGTGGTATCTAAAAAGCAATTTAGTTATGCTACTGTTGACAGGTATAAGAATGTCACAGTCATTTTCCTGTGATATTTGTAACTGCAGGTACTTGTCTGAAATTATGTTCTTGGAGACTAAATTTTCTTATGTAAACATTTATACCATAAGCTCAATGTCTACCCCCAAAAGTGATACAGCTTTCCATTTTTCCCCCTCTTCCTTTAAGCTAATACATTAAGAAGGACTAGAAGGAACATTGAATTTGGGTCTTCTGCTATCAAATGGTCATGCAGTCTTTTAACAGACACCTCATTGTAATGTCATAAGGACTTACTGGAACTCATACTGTTTGGACTGTTCTTTTGAGAAAACATTATTTACTCAAAGGAGGGTCTTGGTTTAATAATGTAACAACTCCATGAGCATCTGCAACAGAAATCACAATATGGCATGCCATTATGAGACATGAGAAACAGATACTGCCCTTACACTGTGCCCTAGCTTCCTTTTCTTTCATTCTGTCCAGGCTCTGAGCTCCCCTGCTCATACACTGGACCTTCTTCCACAAAGCTGCAGCCTGCCCATGCCCATAATTCCTTCTGAGATTCCTATTCCACAGTACAATGCTCTGAGCGGCTCAAGGCCAGCTCTCCTCAGCTTCTCTATTTTAGAATCTCAGTAGAAATTGTACTCATATTTTACAATCAGCCACCTAAATCATAAGGTGATTGAACTACAAGAGAATTGGAACTATGTGCCACCTTTGGGACAGAGCCAGTCCCTGGCCCAGTTGGCTGTGGTGACCATGGCCATGTAGCATGGAGATCATGACCATAGTCCTTATCCATGCGTCAGAATGGAAGCAGGGCAGGCAATAGTGATCAGTAACTGTTATGCATCCAAAGCATTTATATGTGTCATTTTTTGGTATACTCATCAAAAGTTAAGAGGATGGTGAGTTCATTTATGCCCCACTTTGTAGAAATGAAGAAGACTTGAACCAGAATGTTAGGCAGAATTTAAGACAGGTTGACAGAAATCCTTGGCTGATTAAATTGTTGGGAAGGTGGTGGCAGTGAGGTCTCAGTTGATCATCAGTGTTTTGGCTTTGGCTGTTGGGTAAAACCTGGTACTTATTCTCTGAGACAGAAGGTGTAAGAGGATGAGAAAGTTAGGTTTTGCTTGTGTTTGATGGCTAGGGAAAATGGAACACAGTGAACTTGCCATGCTGTGAAGTAAAGATTAAAATCCAAAGTGTGAAACACAGGTCTAGGTTTGAGATGCAGGTATTTAAGAGCCACCGGTTATGGTTGGGAATTTCATCCACTTGCCATATTAGGAGGAAAGAAAGCAAGAACCAAGACCTAGAGAATACCCATCTTTACACACAAAATAGAGGGAGTTGCCAGTGAAGGAATGAGAAATGACAGAACTGGAAATGGTAGGAGCTGGTCCATTTACTGTAATATAATAGCTGTGATTTGATAGTGCCAGCACTACGCTAAGCACTGGAGATAGCACACAACCCCAATAGCCAGAGATCCTTCTCCCAGGGGCTTGCATTCAAGAAGGAAAAGCACCACATCAATGAAAATAACTGTCTCCTCAGATGAGGAGCTTTCCTAGATATCAAGCTTTAAATGTCTAAAGAGGTGAGGAAATGGCTCAGTGGTTAAGAGCACTGGTGCTCTGCCAGGGAACCTGGATTCAATCCCCAGAATGCACATGGTAGCTAACAACCAACTGTATGCCAGTTCTGGAGACCCAAGATCGTCTTCTGGCTTCTGGCTTTACTGCATGTAAATGGGGCCCAGACATATACATGTAGGCAAATCACCTGTACACATTAAATGTCAAGAGAATTAGGACAGGGGCTGAAGAGACTTCAGATTTAAAACAGGGGAATCAGTGCTGCCATAAACCGAACATTCTCCAAGATACTTGGGTCCTTATCCCCTGACTTGGGAATGTTTCTTATAGTGAAAAGGAATGTTGAAAGTGGGCTGAATCTCAACATAGAGAAATCTCGTTATCCACATTTAATCACATGTCTACATAAGAGGGACAAAGGAGGTAGACTGCAGAAAAGGAGGAAATGTGGAAATAGAAACAAGAAATTGGCCTGATACAAGAAAGGGGTCATGAGCTTAGGAATCTTAGTGGCTTCCCAAGTATAGGAAAAGCAAAAGGTCAACAGTCTTCAGAGCAGTGGTTCCCAATTTTGGGGGATCAAATAACCCTTCCATGAGTCTCCTAGGACCATCCAAAAATGCTGATATTTACTCTACTATTCATAACAGTAGCAAAGTTACAGTTAGGAAGTAGCAAGAAAAATAAATTTATGGTTGGGGTCACCACAATATGAAAAACCGGGGCACAAAAGCAATATACAGCAAGCCGACCAACATCAAATTAAATGGAGAGAAACTCAATGCAATTCCTCTAAAATTAGGGACAAGACAAGGCTGTCCACTCTCTCCATACTTCTTCAGTATTGTCCTTGAAGTTCTAGCTAGAGCAATAAGACAACAAAAGGAGATCAAGGGAATACGAATCAGAAAGGAAGAAGTCAAACTCTCACTATTTGCAGATGATATGATAGTCTACATAAGTGACCCGAAAAACTCTACCAGGGAACTCCTACAGCTGATAAACACCTTCAGAAAAGTGGCTGGATACAAGATTAACTCAAAAAAAAAAATCTTTAGCCCTACTATATACCAATGACACATTTGTGGAGAAAGAAATCAGAGAAACACCCTTTATAATTGCCACAAACAGCATAAAATACCTTGGGGTAACACTAACCAAAGAAGTGAAAGGCCTGTACCGCAAGAACTTTGAGTCTTTAAAGAAAGAAAGAAAAGATACCAGAAAATGGAAAGATCTCCCATGCTCTTGGATAGGTAGGATCAACA